CAGCCTGGAGAAGAGAAGGCTGCGTGGAGACCTCATAGCAGCCTTCCAGTATCTGAAGGGGGCCTATAGAGATGCTGAGGAGGGACTCTTCATTAGAGACTGTAGTGATAGAACAAGAAGTAATGGGTTCAAACTTAAGCAGGGTAAGCTTAGATTAGATATAAAGAAGTTCTTCACTGTGAGGATGTGAGGCACTGGAATGAGTTGCCCAGGGAGGTTGTGAATGCTCCATCCCTGGCATTGCTCAAGGTCAGGCTGGATGAAGCCTTGGGTAACATGGTTTAATGGGAGGTGTCCCTGCCCATGGCAGGGGGGTTGGAACTAGATGATCTTAACATCTTTTCCAACCCTAACTATTCTATGATTCTAAGAGAGTTGGAGAATGTTACAAGAATTTTTAAAGGTAAAATTCAAGTTTAGGATCCAGTGTCCTCTGCATCCAATGGGAGCTCATCCATGGACTTCAAAGGGTTTTGGGCTGGGATGGCAATCACAATGGAAGAATTTTCTGCAATGCCTATTGCATGCAACCAAGAGGAATGCTCTTCAAAATAGTTGTTAAATTGGAAGGAAATCAGAGAACATATAAAAAAATTAAGGGTTTTTGTGAGAACTGAAGAGAGAAGAAAAAATGTAAAGAATTAAGTGGTTATAACCTGCCTAAATAAAGAATAAGCAGGAGCGTAACAGCTTTCAAGCCTCTGAGTACATAAGCTTATAGAAAGGATAAAAATATTCACTTTGTTACACAGAAGTACAATTTTAACAGGGAAGGGGAACATACAAGTGATGAAAGACATTTAATGCAAATACCAATAAACTCAGCATATTAAATTGTTGAATAATAGAAGAGATGGAAGACATATGGTTTGGGATATTTTAAAATCAGATTGTATACTAAGTATTGAAATGCAGAGAGTAATCTTTTCTATTCCCCATGATGCTATAAAATGTATCTGTCTTAGAAAGACGTATCTTTTTCTAGCCTCTTCCTGTGCAAGTTCCATGTTTTAAAGCCTGTATCAGGAGATGCAGAAATAGCATAGGATATATTGTTCTTAATAATGAATAAACACTCTCTCTATATTTTAATCATGTAATCTCTTTATTTCCACCTATCTCTGACCAAAGTTACAGTCTTTTCTCAAATCTAGTGTTAATGTAAATATATTTCAACTGTTTTCTCTACTTAAAGACAAATAAGGCTTTACTGTGTTAGGGATTCTGTAACAGTAACCCAAAGATTTTTTAGCTGAGGAAATATTTTGCCATTATTTCTGTTAGGTTATTGTCTTCTGCTAGAAACTTATAAAGAAAAGATGATTTTTTATTTTTTTTTCCCCATAACACAGTTCATGATAGGGGAGGTAGCTATTCCCATTCAGCAATTTCTGCCATTTTTCACCCTCTGTATTTTGGTTCCCAGCTCTCTACCAAATGTAGGAAGCAAAGACAAATTTTAAGATGACATATAAGGAAGCTTTTTTCATTCAGGGTGAAATATTTGCAAACTCAGATAAATACCAATTGCAGATAATATTTGCAAACTCAGGAAATACCAATACTTACTCGGTAAAAATGATCACAAGTTCATTTATTTCAATTTCAGCATGGTTATTTACACTAGTGGAAGATTGATACCACGTCATATTTCAGTATGTGTTAAAGTGTAGGACTTCACTTACACTAGTATCATTTTTAATGATCAGCAATAGACTTAAGTAACATTAAACCACTATTTTTAAACTTTATACACTACTATAGTGTATGTTAAAACACACTGAAAAATAATTTCTGGCTTTTTCTAAAGGAGCATCTCTTAATTTAATAATAATGAAAAATCATGGATTAAAGAAATAGTAGGGAAGGCTTGCCATGTCTAAGTGTAAATCATGTATATTTTAATATAGACAAACATGTTTTGCACATCTGCAATGTCATAAATCTGCGCTTATAAAAATCAACATATCCTGCACTGCAGAAACAAGGATCATAGATAACAAGCTGAAAATAAATCATTAGCACAATGCTGCAAGAAAGATAAAAGACACAAAACCTGAAGGCATAAGGACAGGAAAAAGAAAAAGCAGAGAAATGGTGACATATGTCTTTGCAGCACTGGTGAAATAATTATTGGAATGATCTTTTTCATTCTGCAGCCTAGTTTCCAAACCAGTAATGGAAATTGGAAATGTGCAGAAAAAAGATGGTAGGATGTTTGGAAAATGTATTTTATAGAATGAAAGTTATGAAACTGGATGCATTTTGTTTATCCAAGTATCTTTTAGGAAATTATTTTCTTGACTTGAAGTCAAGGAAGCACTAATGTGAAAAGTAATCTAATAGTAAAATATTAAAACCAATAAATCTTCTGATCCTTACACAAATTATAATAGCATCATTGACATCAATGGAGTCTTGCTATTATGTGAGTCAGATTAAGTTATTAGTGGGGGGTTGCTGTGTTTGTAGTTTATCCCCAGGTATACTCAGTCAGTGGGTGCTCTGATTTGCACTTGTCTGAAAAGACTTTCAGAATCAAACCCAATTCAAACTGAAATAAAATTCAGGCTTGGATATATGCACAAATTATAAATACCTGAAATTAAACAGATTCAAGATTAAGGCTGGAAAAAAATGAAGAACTCAAAATGAAAGAGAAAAAAATATCTAAAGCACAGATTACAAGTTGTTCTGACATTCTTCAAAACTGAAATTTTGTGTTTCTGCACACTTGTTTTCTGCATTTAAAAGCATGAATATGTTTTATTCATTGCAAAGTTTGTTATTCTACTTGGAAAACATTTATTCTGTTTCTTATTTACACTGAACTTAGAATTAATGCGGCTGTTCCAGTTGAGCAAAAGCAACCTTGACTTGTAATAAGCATCATTTTATCACACCAAAATATCTTGTCTAAAAACATAACATGGACATAGTTCTCAGAATTAAGCTAGTTAATAATTATTATATAAACGGGTCAAGGATTAAAAGTGCCAATAAAGTCTTGTGAATTGTGTGTAGATTTTATTTAGAAATTACAGCATTGAAAGCCAAAGCTGCCTTAACGTATATAGAATAGGTTTAACACCATAGGTGAACTATCATAGTGTCAATAAACATTTTTCAAAGAATAATAATCAGAATAAGTAACCCCAGCAGTCTGCTTCTATAAAATAATAGATCTTTGGCTGTAGTGAAGTATTTCCTAGGTACAATATTATTTATTTCCAGATTACATAAAACAAGCAATACTTTCTTAAATATGATAGAAATAAACAGAACTTCTAACTCAGAAGCTCCAGTCTGGTTTCCTAATGAATTTCCCAACCTGAAAACTATTTCCCTAGTCCAGCTTTCCTCTGAAAGCACACTCATATCTTTGCTTAGCAATCTTATACAGGCTTCAGTCATAGGAGACTCCTTTGGTGTCCCTTAGCTCTACTCAGCACAATATCACTGAAAGCTAAAAATGCCTTTTTGTTTTTTTTTTAACATTTTAAATATACATACTTCTAAATAAAAAAATCTGATCAGATGCTCTGGTAATGAGCAGAATCATTCTTGAACAGAAAAAAATCATGGGTGGGCATAGTCAGAAACTGAGCAGAGAAACACTACATTTAAGATACCACTCAGCTTACCACAGCAAGGCACAGACTTACCATGGGTGGGGAAAGACTCTGCTTTAACTAGGCTGCATAAAGGGTCCCAGAACAGGTATCCATGGAAAACCTAAGAGCACTAACCTAAAGCTGAACAACCAGAAGGCCTACCTAGCTCCCACCACCCCTCTCCTTCAAAAGACTCACAATCTGTGTCACACACATCACCTGTTACCACCACAATTTCAGGTGTTACAACTTAATCATTAGTTTTAGCCTAATTAGCTAAACATGCTACTGGTGTAGCTGTGCTTGCTTTGGCTGCAAACACCCATTTGTAGTTTACTACCGAATAAAGAATGGCTCTAGTCTCTCTGCACCTTAGGACATGGTCACATTTGAACCTTTTAAGATGCTTAATGCTTCACCTTATGGATCCAAAAGCATAACAGCAACATGCTCTTCAGCCTGGGAATGATTGTATGAGCAGATAGAGCAAATCAAATGTTATACCCACCTTAACTTCCTTGTGTTGTTTTAGGGGGCTAAAAATAAAATAAATTATTTAAAAATTTATAATACAGATGGCAAATACATACAGAACTAAGGAGATAATCAGGTGACAAAATTGCAGATAATTGCAGATTTGCTGAAAACTGAATGCTCAGCCTCCTCAAAACTTGAATAATTTTTCAGACATTTTATTTCTGGAGTAAAATTTTGGAGGGTTTATTCAATTAAAATACAGAAAATACTATCAAAAAGAAAAAGAAAAAACAAAAAACAATAAAAAAAACTCAAAAACAAACAAAAAAAACCCAAACAAACAAAAAAGCCAAACAACCAACCAGTCAAAACAAAACCAACTCTTTTATTTTCCATCAGAATATTGGAAATGAATGAGAAAGTAGCTCAATACCACAGCACCCGCTGACCAGAATCAAGAGCTTTTTCTCAGTCCCAAGCACTGAAATGACATCTTACACTCATACAGCCAAGTAATGCCAGATATAAAAATTAAATAAATGAGTTGAATGGCTATGTTACACTAGAGTTTAATGCTACTTTATTTCCAATAAATCAATGTGCAATCTAGCACATTCTACTCAAATGACAAACCAATCCTGTGAATTAAAACTGCAAAAGTTTTATTCAAAAGTTGAAGAAAAAAGAAAATCTACATGTACGTCTTTTGGAGCTTGGAAAGAATTTTGAAACAGAGAAAAAAACTCCAGTCCTCTCAGCAACCATAAAAATACACTATAATAGTCAAAGGTCTCAGCAAAGTGGAAAATCCACAGATGTGTAAACAAAGCAAGCAGAAATGTGTGTGTTTCCTTCAGATGTTTTCCAAAGTGTCCTTACTTCAGTACGTTATATGCATACGAAGAGTAGTGTGTCTTTCGAGTCATGTGATGTTCCTGGCTCCTTACCTGATGTTTATCTGGCAGCAGGGAAACCAGCAAATGCGGATATATTGGCTGCTTTTTAGTTGGTTCTTGACCTGAAAAAGCTCTTTCATTCAAAGAAAGAAGCAGCAAGACTGGAATATCAGCTTTTGAGGTTGATCTTTTCTGCTTCCTTTTCAGGTAAGAGTTTTAAATGCAGGAGAGGAAATGCTGATTTGATCAGACAGGGTTAGAGTAAATAAATGCATGCTGTTCCCCATCCCCATTTCCATGCTAATTTATTGCCAACATCATGGGTATAGCATTTTAGTAGTCAAGTGATGAGAACAGCACCAGCTGGACTGGTCGGCTCTGTGGCTGGGGGCTCTGGGTCCTTGGTGTCCTTTAGTCCTGAAGTTCGGACTGTCCCTTTGGTGGCTGACAGTCCTGTGCAGATTATTGCTGGCACCACACCAAAACAGCTGCTGGGTGTTCAAAACTGCAGTCAGCCATGAAAATCCCAAGTGCAGTTTGAGGAAAATGAACTGAATTGCACCCAAAGCCTGGAACAGTCTGCTAGACCTACCTTGCCTTGTGCTTTGAGCTGTGCACAGACAAAAAATGTTATGCAGGAAACTGGGGGTACTCCTCTGTAGGCATCCCAAAAGCAAATTAACTAATTGCTGATGACTAAAAATGGCATATGGTTGGTCCTTTCTATACTCTTTATTCTTGAAAAGGCAAAATGAGCTCCAGGAGAATGAATAGGCAGTTAAATGTATTTCAATACTTTACTATTATATTTTACTACTAAATAATCTCAAACAACCACAAAAAGGGTATATAGACACTTCTATGTCACACGGTGGGACAACAAGTGACTCTATGACATGTACAAACACATCTAAAGGCAAGGAGTAGGCTGGTACCCAGCTTATGTGGGGTCATCGCTGTGCAACGAAAACTGTTGCAGGAATCAGCAGTGCTGTGGAGGAGGAAAAAACATCTAAATCTATCATGATAAAAAAAAGTCAATGTCAGTCTTAAAATTTCACGGTAATATTGGAGTGAGAATTAGCATTAGGTTGAGTAAACTGAGATAAAATTATACATCAGTGTGGAATGAAACCGCATGTACTCATTTCTCTTTAAAGTGTTAGCGGGACATCAAGGTGGAATTAAAATGTTTTAAATGTCAGTTTCTTCCATCTCCTAGATCCCACTGTGCATTCTCCAATCATCAAAAATCCAGCCATAATAAATGTACTTAAACTTCCACTGCAGTCTGCAGCTATTTCTCTCTAGCCGATCATACTGTCAGATGTCTTTTGTGCAAAGCATGTTATAAACAGAAAAATAGAGCGAACACGTCTGAGCTGATTTCTTTCTACTCCACTGGCACATAACTGGTGGCAATAAGGTTGCTCCTTCAAATGTGTTTTTCTTTGCACTGTAGTTGTGCTGTGAGATTAGCAAAACTCAAGGCACTGAAGTTTACCATCACTTGATGGTGCCACTCAGAAGCGCTGTTTGTTTCTGCTGGGGAAGCTTTGTGCTTTTTGGTCTGGGGAAACTCCTCCTGCGCAAGGAGGCTGTTTGCAGCTAATCCTTGATCACAGCTCATCAAGGCACTGCTGATATCCCCGCACTTTCGCAGTTAAAAATTATAGTTATTAACGTAACATGCGTGACAGCTTGCTGCTTGGAGCGGAGCACTACTTCTTCAGCTGCCTCATGACACATGACTTTTGCTCAGCTTTTTCCCTTATCACCTCCCTGCCTACCCCAAGGCCATCTGACACAAGGACTGTGGCACAGATGAAGTTAATCATTAGCTGATATAGTGGTGAGGTCAATTCTGTAGGTAACTAAGCTGATTAACATGTGTGACTTTGCAATGGTGGTTATTTACATCTTTGCATTCTCCCTCCTGGGATTAATCCCATTTTATAGATTTGCTTCTGGATAGGCAGCATTTGTGTTCAGATCTTTGGATCCTGGAGATGTCAGACTGCTACAGGGTCTCTGAGCTCCTTTTAGTCCTTGCACAAACATCTCTGCACTTCTACCATAACTAGCACGCTTGTATTAGTGAGCCATAGCAGCGAATCATTGCATTTCTAAGAATTCTGAAAACCAAAGTTCCCAGGCTTTCCCCATTTTAAAACCCTTGGAAAGGCTTCTCTTCCCTTTCTACACCTGTTTTTCTCTGGCAGAAGTATGACTGTTAAACAGCAATTTTCTTTCCATGTTTTTTAAAGTGAAGAATTTTTAATTTGGATGTATTTTCCTCTGAAAATCCTTTCAGTCAATATGGAATTACAGAAAGCACCTTTCTGAAGACGAAAAAGAACTGAAGATATTTCCACTGAAAGGTGTGCATGTATTTGTGTGTGTGAGTGCATGCTCTGGACTGGCAATGTGGTTGCTTCCTGCCTCGAGCCAAAGCAGTTTACTTTGTACCTAGCAGAACAGGAATATCGGTGCAAAGCTGCAGTGGGAAGGAATTTGGACAGAATTGTGAAAAAAAGTCTGGGTACTCAATTCCTCCTGACTCAGTTCCATGCAAAGAGGTGCATTTGTAGATCGTCTAGTGATAGTGTTTAATTACTACCTCACCTACAAAAAAGACAGACTAGGTCCTTATACTCCCTCTAGATTATCCAAGCCCTACTTTGTACCACTTTTCATGCTTTTATTTCCTTTACTTCTTTATCCCTTTTCCCCCAGTTTCTCTGATTCAAGAAATTGTCTTTCCTCATTTCTCTCACCCAAAACAGAGCTACAAAATAGATGGGGTCAATGATCCCAGAGGGAAGAATAGGCACTGGGATCCTGTAGATCAAGTGTGGGAGGCAGAAGGAATTACTCTGGACAGTCCAGCGGGCCTTCATTTCTGTGTAGAATAATTGATTTTCAAAAAGCATTTATTTTTCTTTAATACATTTTTTATCCATTGCTCTTGATGGCCTGCTCTCTACCAGCTTGACTTCAAAGAAACAAGACAAAGTTTTATAACTTAGGCTGGGAAGAAAAAGTATGGTTTAGATTTTCAAATAAGTACATCATTATGCAATGCTGAAAACATTATAGATTCATTTTATTTTTCAAATAAGACTCTAATAACACAGTTACTGGCATACATCTTACTGGTGCTGTTGATGACATCTAGACCTGAGACTGCAAGCCCTGCATTGGCTCAGGGCAGCCAAGGAAACGTGACAGAGCAGTCAGAAAGCAAAATTTACATCTTGGATGACTTTCTGGTACTCCTGCATTTGTTTTCATCTCAAACTATCACACAAGCTTATTTGGTTCTGTAATGCCAAATCAACCCAAGTCATGCACTCAGGGACAAACAATAGAATTTGACAGCTCTGGTTAATCAAGGGAAGTTTCATTGGAATGGATGTACAGAAATAGAACCTAAGGTGTAAGATATTGATATATTTTCCAGTAATGATGAATATATTTCTGAGCCCTCCATGCTTAGAGTGATTCTTTCAAATAGAGAAAGGGTGGACAAGGTTTACTTGTATAATGAGGGGAAACTAAGTTGTTTCCTATATCCAAAAAGCCTGATAGACTGAAACAGGTTGTCTTAGCTTAGATATATGGTGCAGCTAATGCAAATATTTTCTTCTTATAAATTTAACTATAAAGAAATATGGATGAGAGGAAAACATAAGAGGAAATGGTAGCACTCAATAAAAATAGTTTTAGATATATTTATTCTGTAAAGGGGAGTAAGGTTTCTGATCACAAGTGATTGAGATTGTCAGTTATCTTCCATTAGAAGCAAAGTGGGCAAAATCTACAAGATTACGCTTAATAAAGCAATGACTGAAATAATATCTAATGATTTCTTATAACAGTAGAGGTCTGGACCTGGTGAGCAGGAAGTCTTAAGGAATCTTGCTGTGGAAGGAAAAAAATGTTTTTTATTAAACAACTTGTTCAGAAGAGAAAAATTGGGTAGAAGCTATCAGCCTGCTCCAGCGAACAGATGCTTTTTGGCATTATTAAAGTTAGTAGGCCTTCTAGCTTAATTGAACTGCGTGAACACTGAGGCATCTAAGGAAACAGAGATGCCTACATTTTAACAAAATAAACTAGTATCCTCAGTCTTACCTTAATCCATGTATTTGAGACAAGGGAAAGGAAAAAGTCTAGAAAATACATATTTTAAAATATTCTGAATATAATTTTTGAAATTTTTGAAATCCTTAGCAATATCACTAAAGATCAGGAATACATTCTGAATTCCTTCCTTGGTGGATATCAACTGTTGATTTTTATCACTTTCCCTACAGGGACCATCAAGACATCACGACTGCCAATCTTGCATTGTGAATTAAAGGCAAATGCTTTGCATGTCCTAGACACAATCTGAAATAAAATACTATTATTGACTTCAGCTCTACATTATTCTCAAAAAGTGAAATGTACTGTATAAGCTGGTGTTGTTTCCAACCACATATTTAGAAAAATTAAACATTTTAGATGGCCTACACTAGGCAGCATTATTCATAACATAAATGAAAACATTACACAATCACATATATCAATATATACTGGCATAAGGCAACTGACTTTCTGAGATCATTGCTGATCAGCTGATAATGGAAATTTAATGTTTAACTTTGTATTCTGCCAATTTCTCCTGCCATGATGATCAACTACAAAATACACCATGAAGACAACGTTTTGGCTGAACCAACTGCTAATCAATTTATGTTCTGAATCATAAGTATTCATTGTACTTAGTATTTTTACCTTGATAAATGTGCAAAGGATAATTGAGTCAGATTCCTCTAATCAGTGCAACTATGGCAGCTTTTCATGTTTTCATGATACTGCACAGTTGAAAGACTTTTGCTTGTTTTTCTGGTCAAAAAAAGAAGCAGAACTGTGCACCAAACTGCTTTTACATTTTTGAAAGCTCTTGTTGCCTAGAAGATATTGCTGATCACTTCTTCTGAACATTTTCCATGTTTTCTGTGCTGTGATTGAAACTGAATTCAAAATCAAGAGGATGTGAAATAACAGCAAACTTTTTCATTGGACTTTATGTTTTTGCTATTAATTGCTTGGAACACATTATCCCATTTTGGATGCTTTTGAAGAATAAGCAGACATTTTTACTGAGTTGTTTAGAAGGTTGGTTGGGGTTTTTTTTGAGAGTTAAACAACCATCTCTG